TTGAATTGTTTCCCCCCCTTTTAATTAGGTATGTTTATTGCATGATAGTTCATGAAAATGCTTAACTAAGAAAATAAAATAAATTTTCAACCAAAAGATTAAAATTGATAATTATTTATATTATATTCTTAATATTAACTAAGAATGCATAACATCTAAAATAAAAAATTAATTTTCATTAAATATAATTAATTTAAGGATAAGACCTCTACACTTATTTTTCTTATTTTTGTGCACCTTTGTACTTACGTGACACCTTTAACCATCAAAGATGATTGTGTTTAAAATTATTTTTTATCTTTTAAAAAAATATTCAAATATTTTTTATCTTGTATTTAAATTAATTTAATACACATTTTTTTACATTGTATCAATCTTTTCTTTTTACCTTTATTCGTTGTTTTTTCTATTTATTTTCCTATTGATTTATTTTTATTTTCTTTGTCTTTTATTTTGATTTGAATTCAAATTTAATTTCAACTATCTTGAGTTTAAGATAAGTTAATTTTGAACAAATGTCAAAATAAGTGAAGAAAAACAATTTAAAACATAAAAATAAATTAAAGGACACTTTTAAATCACTTTTAGAAAAAATATACATAATTTAAAAATAAATATATATATTTTAATATCAATAAATATGTGTATTAACTAATTATAAAGTTAAAAAGTAAAAATGATATATGTCCAATTTGTAATTCATCACTTGCCTCCCAAATAGTGCGCACGCTCACTATGCCATGTCAGCATTTGTAATCTATTTATTTCATTTTATATTAATCTATGAATAATAAGACCCAATTAAACTTAAAAGGGAAAAAGGTAAAATATGCTCCTAACTATTCAAAAAGGTTTAGATATACCATCCGTTTAAACTTTGATTCACTCATGCCCTTGCCGTCCAACTTTTGGTCCACATATGCCTTATGGGCGTTAGTTGTCATGTTGGAGATATCCAATTCATTTATCATTTCTGTAAATGTCACATGAAATTGTCATTTCATTTTGACCTTACCACATGATGTTTATATGAAAATGGAAAGATATTCAGACTCATAACATCTAATCCGACCCATAAATCACTCCCTTTTTAAATAAATTATCCGATCAATTTTCAACAATTTTGTGTAATTTTTATTTTTTTGATAAATTCTGAAAATGAGTAATTGATTGATAAAAAAAATAGGAATAATATGAAAAAAAAAATTAAAATCATGCCAAAATTCACAAATAATTGTAATAACCTTAAATTCAATTTAAACACTTTTTTTTTATAAATCTCGAAAATGAGTAATTGATTAATAAAAAATATGAAAAAAATATAAAATTAACGCCAAAAATTAAAAAAATCAATATTGTAACCTTAAATTCAACAATTTCAATATTTTTTTAATTTTTAATTTTTCCGGCTAATCCCAAAAATGAGTTTATTAAGAAAAAATATAAAACTTATTCAAAAATTCGCAAATAAAAATAGGAAAATGTGAAAAAAAATTTAAAAAAAATTGTAGAAATTATTTAATTTAAGGTTAGTATATTTATTTGTGATTTTTGATGTAATATTTTTTAGTTTGTTTATGTTTTTCCCTTTTTATTAATAAATTACTCATTTTCGGGATTTGTCGAAAAAAATAAAAATTTAAAAAAGAATTATAGAATGAAATGTTAATATATTTATTTGTAAACTTTTGGCGTTAATTTATACTTTTTCATGCTTTTCATATTTTTTATTAATTAATTACTCATTTTCGAGATTTACTGTAAAAATAAAAATTCTAAAAAATATTGAAATATTAGATTTAAGGTTACTATATTTATTTATGATTTTTTGGTGTTAATTTTTTTATATCTTTTTCATATTCTTCCTATTTTTTTATTAATCACTTACTTATTTTCGGAATTTATCAAAAAATAAAAATTAAACATAATTGTTGAAAATCGGTCGGATAATTTATTTAAAAGGGGGTTGATTTATGAGTCCGAATATCTTTCCATTTTTATATAAATGTCACGTGGTAAGGTCAAAATGACATGACAATTTTCATGTGGTATTTATTGAAATGAAAAATGAGTTGAATATGTCCAACATGACAACTAACGCCCATAAGAGCATACTTGGACCAAGAATTGGATGGCTAGGACATGAGTGAATCAAACTTTAAAATGAGGGTATATCTAAACCTTTTCAAATAGTTTAAGAGCATATTTGGACATTTACCCAATTTAAAAATATATGTGAATTTTTTATTATAATCTAGAATGATACTTGTGTATTACTCTTTAATTTATAATTATACCTTACATTTTTTTTTCTAGTAAATGTAAAAGGTGAAAAAATAGTAAAGTGAGGTTTGGAATTAGGTGGATACGGTATTGTATTTAAAATTTTGATGCCATAATTTGGGGATTTGGTTTTAAAATTATTTTATCATAATTGTACTTTAAAGTTCAATTTTGATATTCTTTTGTTGTAATTAATAGTAAAATGAAAATTATAGTTCGTCAACTTTTGATTATTATGTATTCATATAATGAAAAATATTATGACTTCTGCAATTCTGAAAAAGGTTTTCAATTGTATTATATTAACACATTACACATATAAATAATATGATAAAATCAAATCAAATCAATCTAGTCGAATTTTAAATTTTTAAAATCAAACTAAACGAAAAAAATGACCGTCAGTTTGGTATTGTTGATTTGATTTGATTTGGTTCAATTTGTCTGGTTTATTCGATTTGAAAGTAATAGTAACTTTTTGAGAACTTACGCAGATAAAACACAAACACCTAATACATGAACAACCCACAAAAATCTATTATCATTACACGAAAAAAGTGTTTCAATTAAGAGAAAGTGTAACTATTTTATGTGAAGGTAAAGACTAAAATTAATTTTTATGAATTTAGACTTAAGATTGTTACAATTGGGATAAAGTGTTGGGCTTTAAAAATTTATAAAGTTAAAATTCTTAAATTAATTAAAATTTCACAAAAATAATTATATTTTATTTATAAATAATTTTAAAATTTATATATATAATAAATTGTTCGATTTTATTATTTTTGTAATTTTTTTAGTATATCCAAAACCAAATAAAATAATATCAATTTTCAAAATTTAAAACCAACCCCATTAAATATAATTTTTTTAATCGGTTTGATTGAAATTGCAAAAAATTCAATTTTATTTTTTAACCATAACCCATAAATAACCCTAACCATATCCATTATTATAACACCAAAATTACAATATTAAAAAATTTGATATATATAATATTTCATTTTCTTTGGGTAAAACTTTTCACATCGAATGTTTACACCACTTAAATACATGTTGTTATGTGTTTAATATTATTATTTATTTAATTTTATTTAAATTAACTAATATATATTTTATTATGTTAAATCATATTATAGTAAAAATTATATTAATCACATTGTACTAAAAATTATATTAATTTAATATAATGGAGTAATTTTTTTGCAAGAAATTAAAGAGCATTAGTATCAAAAACATCAAATCCGTACGCGGTATATTTGGGGTGTCAACAATTCCGAGTAACGGACTCTGTCCCACTCCATGTCTCCATCCCACTTCTATCCTTTTCAATATTATGTGTTAACTTTTTATTAGTTCGATAAAAAATATTTTATTCTAATTTAAAAAATTATTCAAGACAATAAATTTTACAAGTATTTTAGATAAAAGATATTATGCTAAATTAAATAGTGTCATAGTATAATGATAAAAATAATAATAAATTATAAACTTGATAAAAGTAATAATAAATTATAAACTATGTGATAAATTATTTTTTTAAATTTTTAAAATTAAGTAAAAAATTAATAACAATAATTAATGTAATAATCAAGTTTAAGTAAATGAAGAAAATATTATATTAGCAGAGGTGTGTGACTATATATCGGACTCACTTTAATGTTTATTGTTTAGCTTTCTTTGCCCCAACTTGGGTATAGTAGAATAATTAAAACTAGGAAAAATTATATAAATTGATATATTTTAATAAATAATTATAAATTTTAGCTATATTTTTTATTTATAGTAATATTATGTTAAATCTGTAATATATATTAAAATTGAATTATGTATTCAATTTATATGAATTATAATTATTTTTTGAAATATGTTATATTTGTTTAATAAAAAATTGAAACATTGTATTATACGTGTATTAAAATGTGTGATAAATATATTAACTATCATTTAAACTTGTATTTATATATAAATGATAAATTGTTTTTTGTAATATATATTAAATTTATACTATAAATAAATTAAAAGTGATTAAATAAAAAAATTACTATAAATAGTAAATATTTTCTATTAATAATATATTCGTGTAAATTTCCCAATAAATTAATGAGTAGATAGCATAGCACTCTTTTTATTTATATCCGCTCATGGGAATATTTTTTTCCTTATATATAAAGTTAGCACATGTTAAATATGCTTCAGATGTGCTTAATATATGGCACGTTTTTTTAGTCGACATATAAAATAAACTTTTTAACATCATGTTGCCAAATGTAGTGGGCCCGGTGCCATCAAAATCACCAGGTGATTTCATCTAATCTCACGCTAACCGTATAATTTCATCTTTCATTATTTGAATTTTATATTTAAAAAAAATCTTAAGGCTCATAGTTTAATATTTGTTAAAACAAAATAGTGTTTTTTGCTTTTACATACACTAAAAGGTCAAAAGAACATTAAAACAATATGTTTAAATTTACGATTGAAATTACTCCCTCTGTCACTTTTAATGTCATATCACGTTTTTAAAAAATTAATTAGATTAATTTTTAAAGTTAAATTTAATATTTTAAATAAAAAAATTAGATATTTAAAAATTATTATAAATTATAATTTTTTACATATTAATATGAAAAATATACATTATAAAATGTCTAAAAAATTATGATAAATAAGAACGTAAAGCGAGTAAATTATTTGACTCTAAAAATACGAAGACATTTACAAAAACAAAATATTACTTACATTAATACCTCATGATTTTTACATTTCATTCGACTATAATGATTTCTGCCGAACTACATACTGCACAACCCGAAAATGAATAGACTCGCAATTTATGTTCTTTTTTTAGGTACTATAGAGCCCAAATTTGATTTTAAAACTTACAACAGGGCAAAGTACCATAATATACTAACTTATTATTATTTTTTTTCAATTTGAGTAACTGAAGCTTAATTTCTTTTAATATTATTGGACTCTGCATACGGTAAAAGTTTATTGCACTGGGCTGTCCTTTTAAGTAACGGGAACTTAAAAGCTGTGAACATTCCCGCCAGAATCAGAAGAGTCGCCATTGAAATTCATCATGGTCAACCAATCTTGAATTTCATTGTCACCCATCAATTGATCCCAAATTTCATTTCCATAATCGGAATTATTATTCGCTGTCTGGGATTGCTGAGGCTCTTCTGGTAATTGTTGTGGTGAAGAAGATAAAGTGCTCTGTTGTTCTTGAGTGTCAACGGTATAATCCGCAAATGAAAAATTCAATTTAGCTCGTGGACCCCTGAATTCAATGGCGGCTTTATCATAAGCTCTAGCTGCTTCTTCTGCCGTAGTGAAAGTTCCCAGCCAAACACGTGCAGCTTTTCGAGGATCACGAATTTCTGCTGCCCATTTCCCCCATGGCCTCTGTCTCACTCCTCTGTAATTCTTCTTCTTTTTCTTCGCGATTGCGACTGTAGCTGTACTACTACTACTACTCTTCTTCTTATTATCAGCAACAGGAGCAGCCACAGCAGCAGGCGCTGAAGAAGAAGAAGAAAATGTGGTACCAAAAATGTCACAGCCTAAACAACCTTGAATTCTGCAAAATTGACAAGGTTCTTGTTCAGCAGAGACACCCAATACTTGTTCGAAACTAGTAGACATACTAGTAGAAGGCGAAGAAGAAGAAGTAACATTCGTGGTTGTGGTGGCAGTAGAATAATTATATGGCGAAAAGACATTGAATTCTTGATAATTTTGCGTTGGAATATTACCATTGATCACATTTTTCAGAGTTGCAACCATAACAGAGTACTCTTCATCTCCAGTAAGCCTTGGTTGCTGCTGTTGAAATTGATTGTTATTTTGGAGGGAATTCGAATTCGAATTCATTCCTGCTTCTTGTCTAAATCTTTTATTTAACCAATGCATGTTTGAAATTTTTCGTTTGATTTTGTTTTTCTTGTAAGTTTGAGAGTGTTGAGTTATGAAGTAAGGTCAAAGGGGAAGCAGTGGTTTATATACCGCGGAAGATGACAGCTCATACACTTACCATACACGGAATAAGAATTTTTTTAGAGCTAAGTAAAAAAATTGATTCAGTTATTCAGGTGATGTATTTGATGACACCATTTGTGGGGGCGCGTTCACACGCTACTTTTTCGCCTGGACCGCCTTATCAGTTATATTTGCGCTAAAGATAATTTTGGGGTCCATTCACCACTTATATAACGCCATTTTTTCTCCCTCTAATTTTTTAGGCTATTTAAGAACTGTACGTATAAATTTAATAATTAAAAAGTGGACGCGTAAGGTGAGACGTTTTAATAGCGTTAGATAACTTAGGTTATAGGTTATGGTGTAAATTTTTTATATACATTTAATTTTATAATTTTATTATTAAAAATCAACTAGAAGTTAAAAATCAATAATTCTATAAATAAATTCATAAATTAAATAATTAAAATTAAGATGATTTTAAAAATGAAATTATTATCCATTCCATCATCGATTTATATACCTAATTACTATATATTTTAACTTTTATTATTTCTTACGATGTTTTTTGAAATTATTATTCTAAATATTTTAACGATACAATTAAACGACAAAATGTTCCTAAAGAAGTTTGTGTAAAAACAACTTCAGCTTGATGCACATCTCAGAATTTTCTCTTTTTCACTCGTCCGTTCCTCTATCTCTTGCAATAAATTATAAGCACACGATTAAATTTAACTGTACTCTATAAAAAATTAAAGATGTAATTTATATGGCGTTATTACTTTAGTATATATAAAAAATATATTTTTATATTGCATAATCATTCAATTTTAAACTTTTCATTTTAGTATACTTCATAAAATTTATTACAGTGACAAAAAGTTACATAATTTTAAAAAATAATTCTCTTCCTAAATATATCCTCGCAATGTCAAATACATTCACAGCAATCAAGATAAAAGAGTATATTAAACTTTGAAAGTTTGGAATGATCAATTGAGAAATTGTTGAGATTTGCATTAGAAATTATACTTCCAATTTAAGTCATTTGCGGACCGCGGCGAGGAAATATGTGATAGAGTTAACTGAGTTTACGTAAATTCATATTTTCTTTTTAAAATTATTTATAATAATGTCAATTTGTACAATATATATATGTGTGTGTGAGAGAGAGAGTCTATATTTCTTGATATATATATGTGTGTGTGTGAGTGAGAGAGAGAGTGTCTATATTTCTTGTTTTATTTTTCTTTTCAAAATTGAATAATATTGACCCTCTAAAAGTGATTATTGATTTTTTATATAGCTTTAATTCCTCAAAATTTTCAAATTCATCACATTAAAAATTGAGCACTGTATTTTTTTAAATATTATTAAATTGGATGTGTATGTATATACTATTTGAAGATAAAAGAATTAATGAGGACTTATAATTATGATTTTTAGTGATAAGAACCTAATTGCTTAACTGATTAAATTTATATTCTAAATATGTATATAGTGATTGATTTGATACCAATGTAAATTATTTTTTTTACACGAACAATAATTGGTTAAAATATATTTTAAATCTAACATGTCGTAAGCAGTATTTTCAAAAGTATTTTTAAGGCGAGTCTTGGGATGGATTGTACTAAAAATGTTCTGGGACGTAACTTAAAAATGTAGATCAATAAGGCGTAAGTCCTAAAATTTGAGGCGCAAGCCTCGAGCATAATAATGTAAGTCCTATGAATATAAAGGGTCATTTTAAATTTGTTTTTTAAACCTTTTTGGCTTCAAGTCATATTTTTTAATATTAATATAATGATATTTTTCGAACTGTAATTATAATATTTTATTAATTATTAATAGTTATCTCAAATAAAAATAATAATATAATTTCTATGTAATATAGGTTATTTATAAAAAATTATGTGTAAAAATCATTGAAAGATTTACTTTTACTTATTTTATTACTAACACGCTTCTTAAATTCGTGATACTTACTTTCCGTATCTCAAATCTTATGCCTCACCTCGTACAATATAAAATGTATCGTCTTATGCTCTGTCTTTTAAAATACTACTCATAATTTTATAGTTGACGAAACTATCTAAAGCACGTGGCATTACATGGTGATATCAGGAGAGCAAGTAGTCGATAATATGAGCCTCTCGAAGGGATACATAACAAAGACATGAGAAGAGACTTTCATTATTACTTATTTTAAATGATCGAAGATACATAGCTCTAATAAAAATAAATTTTAACTTTTCGCTGTTACTTATTTTAAATGATGATGAAGATATATCGTTGTAATAATTTTTAACATAATAAATAAACTTTTATTAATATTAATTACGAAAAGTGTTAATTTTTTTAAAAAATATATATTCAATAGCAATTAAATTGATGTGTATAATTAATTATCCCTAAATATCTATTTGCAATAAATTTTAAAGTGACAGAAAATAAATTGTGATTACTAGAAACATAACTTAATTGATCAAAATAGATTGCGAGTACAATTTCGTTATTCTGTTGTCATAAAATTTAGGATAAATCACATAAATATGCTATATCAAAAAAATATTTATCATTTATGACAATATAATTTTTCTAACTGATTATAATATTTTTTTGATAAAAGAAGTACCACACTTCGCTTCTGTGCCCTTGTTTCCTTCCTCCTCTGTTTCTTTTTATTTTACTTCTTTCAACTTTCTATCATTTTTTATCTTTCTCCTCCTCCTCTTCTTTTTATTCTTCTTTTTTATTGAAATATTTATTTAAATAACTCTCCTCAAATTAATTTTATTCATATTTTACTTCTTCTTTTTTCAAAATCATGACGAGTAGAGGAACAAAGATATCAAAAATTTGTATAAAATTATATTTTCAAGAAGATATTTCAAATCTCTAAAATCACTACATCAAAAGTTCATCATTGATGATCATTGTTAAAGCTTCTAATTTTGAATTCATTATTTAAATTTTACGAATTTATAGTTTCGATAGGTTGTTCCTACAAATAATTGAAAATGACGTTTGGATTTCTATCTCAATTTTAACAAGGTTTGGTTAAATTTATACAATTGATTTTAGAAGAAATATTATATTAAAACCCAAAAAATGTGAAGTTTACAAAATTATGTGGCAATTGCATTAAAGTTTTATTAGATATGCTTCATGATTGTATTAAACTTGTATTAAAATAATTTGAGAAACACATTTATAACATATGCACAATACATTTGTAATAAAATATTGCAAACATCGCTCTTTTTCTATGAGATACGAATCAAAATAATTTATAAGATATATATAGTACACGTTTATTATGAATAGTACATTTATAATATATATTGCACTCTTCACTTCTTTCTTAGTGATACCAACAAAAATAATTTAGGTAACACACTAATAATACATCTTTAAAACACACACAATACATTATAAATACATATTGCAGTCGTCACTCATTTTTTTAGTGATATAAATTAAAATAATTTACAAGACACATAATATAAATTTTATTCGTAAACAATACATTTTTAATACATATTGCAAGCATTACTTACGTTCGTAGTGATACAAATCAAAATAATTTAGAAGACATATACAGTTCATGTTTTATTCATGAATAATACAAGTTTAATTCAGTTTTTTCAGTCCTTCTTCATTTTCTCTTCTTATTCAACTTTAATATTATGTAATACACTTTTAATGCAAATTTAATTCTATTTTGAAGTTTATTGGTTGATTGGTTACTATTGGATTACTTATTTGATTCATTGTTGATACAAGTTTAATTCACTTCTATAGATCAATGTGGTTTTTTATTAGTTACGTCCTTTATTTATGCTTGATTCTTTCTTCTAATTCAACTTTTATATTTGTGTAATACAAGTTTAATTCATTTTTGCAGTCTATTTGTTGATTTGTGACTATTAGATTACTGGTTTAATTCATTATTGATATACGTTTAATTCAGTATATAGATCATTGACTAGTTTGATTAGTGATGTTTTTTTATTCATGCTAATTCTATCTTCTAATTCAACTTTAGTATTTGTATAATACACTTTTAGTACAAGTTTAATTCATTTTGCATGTTATTGATTGATACATTTTTATATTCATGTTTGATTTTATTCTAATTCAACTTTAATATGTATGCAATACATTTTTATTCAAGTTTAATTCATTTTGTTGTTTATTATATATCTTCATTTGTTACAAAAGATGAATCATATCTTCAAATATCACTTTTTTCTTATTAATACACCTTTAGATTTGAGAAAGTATAGACCATATATATGACATCATATCTTCAAATCTTCATTTATTTAAACCTTCATATCTTCATATATACTCAAATCCACAAATTCTGATCAAGTATAAATGCAATTATTTATACAATCTTCATTGTGATGAAAATTGTCGACACACCTCAAGCAATAAATAAATAATTTATCGACTTCTTCTACAAACTAAGCAACCCCGATTCTTTGATTTATGAATCACTAAAAATTTTATAAATCTTTCCTCTGATATTTTTTTTTTATATATAATATTGAATGATCAAGGAAGAGCATAAAGAGAAAAGTTGCAGGGAGAAAAAAAAAGATAAAAAAGCATACAAAGAGACGATGAAGAGAGAAAAGAAAGAGAAAAATAACATAAAGAGAGAGAAGGTGCAGTGAGAAAAAGAAGAAGCAAGAGATAGAAAAAAAGGGAGAAAGAACGCAAAAGAGAAGTTGAATCTAATAAAATAAGTATACATAATATTGTTATAAATTGCTATAGATGGTAATATTTAAAGAATATGTTTAAAAATAGTAATTATTAATTAAAAGGGACTCACCCAAGTAATTAACCCTAAAATTTATCCATTATTTTAAGGTATTTCTCAAGATGTTTAGATTTAGCCGAACATTTCATGATTTTTGTGATCTTGATTTCTTTATGGATATTTTGAGATGCCTTTTAAGGAAATTTAGTTCCCATTATATAGGCATAAACTAGGATTTAGGATTGAGTAGCCTCCAAGAATCCTAATTTGAGTTGAATACAATTTATATAGTCCTACCTCAAATTAAACGCATCTTGTAGAGTCCCACAAAATTTCAATAACTACAATATCATTTTTGATACAATGTATATGAAACTCTTATCATCACTTATTTTCTAAATCAATGTGTTTAACTTACATATAAAAATAAAATAAATTTTTTAAAATTCGTGAAATCAGTCAAAACATTACCTATAAAATAAGACAAAATATATATATTATACTTAGTATATATAATTGATTAATTAGATAAATATTACATTGGAAATAAATGGTAAATGTAGAGCATATAACTAAAGCGCAAAGTCGTAATCCAGCCTGTCTAATAATGATACAATATTAGTCTGTTAATTCATCATTAACAAAATGAATAAATTCTTGTGTTATTTTTCAAATAATAAATTGTTAATTCAGGGCTGTAAATGACCAAATATCTAAAAGAGATCCGCGTTTCACTTAGCAGATATACTAACATAAGCCAATAACAACTCAATTAACACAGCTGATTACTTAATTTGATTCCTAATCTTCCAATGTTATTTTAAAAACTCCACCAATATTATTAACTAGAGCTGTCAATATATGCTAGCTGCTCCATTTGAGTTATTTCATACATGCTTTGATATTTTAAGGATCAGGTCAGGCTAGCTCATTTTTTGTGTGGGTCAGAAAATAACAAACGGCTCAACCCACAAGTACGTGGGCTACATGCTTGCGAGCCAGCCTATTTTTTAAAAAAAATATATATTTTTTAATAATTATTAGATTAAATTTATAAATTATAATTTAAAAATATTATCATAAATATCGATAAAATAATGTTATATCATATTAATATTTTTACTTGTTAATCAAAGCCAATTCTCTTTATAATATTTATGAAGTTTTTTTCAAGTAAAAGTATGAATATCTAAATAAAAATATTAACCTAATTGTTTTGAGTTTGGACTCTCTTTAATTTTAAATATTAATATTATATTATATTTTTAAATTAAATTTTATTGGCCTACGGGCCTGCCCTATCAATATTTCTCAAGCCCCTTAAATCAGCAAACTTATTTAGGTCGGGCTAAAAAACCCTTTTCTTAAATGAGCTCCAAAAATCATAGCTCAATCCTATTAAATCCCGGTTTAGGTCAGGCGGGCCTAGACTATTGACGGCGCCATTATTAGCCGATCTAAACATGTGATAAGAACCACGATATTAAATTCGAGTAATATAAAATTGATATTTTATTTGAACATGTAATTTGATTTCTTAAACTATCTCCCCCGAACCTCTTCCCCCCATAAATATGAAAACCCCAAAAGTTACGGAACACTTACAAAATTTCTCGATTCTTATACGTTAAAAAAGAGAAGAAGCTCTATTGTTTTGACGTTAAAAAAAAGTTAAAACTTGAAACAATTAAACTCGTGCTATTGAGAAAAGAAGAAAGAGCTAGTACAAATGATACTTTCCTTTTTTTTTGTCCTAATTGCAGATTCGATTGTTGTACAAATGATATTGACAAGTGAAAAAAGCTCTTCCTTCCTTTTTTAACATTCACACAATTTATTTTAAAGTTACTTTTAGCTTCTATAAGTATTTGACAAAGTTAAAAATAATTTATAATAAATTTAAAATGATTCTAATAAAGTTTAAGTTAAAAAAATAAGTCTCCTCTTTTTTTAATTTTTAACTTAAAATCACTAAATTTTAACTATTATTTTATTTTTATATTTAAAAGCTACTTTTTAAAATCAGTCCAAACAAATTATATATTCTTAATTTAATATATTTTATTAAATCATTTGAAAAATAAGTTAAAACCAAAAAAATATCTTTTATGGAGCCATGTTGATTAGAAGTCTCATGGAATCATAAGGTTGTAATTTTGTGGGCACCAAACGCCCCCAACAACGTGAGAATTTTGAGGTTTAATATTCACTTATTACATAGTCCGTACACTCTATATTTTAGCAATAAGTGTTGTTAATATATAGTGTGGTGCACCTTAGGTCGGCAAATAAAGACTCAAGATTCCCTCTTTCAAGTCAAGATATAATAATAGCATGAGTTAGATATAAAGGCTAAAATTAACTCTCAACTTATTGGCTGTGAATCATTCTTCAATTAAATAATAGAAATAAGTAATTGTGGGTTTGTCTTTATATTTCTTCCGTCATTTTGTGTGTCCTACATTCTTTTTCCTTTTTAATTTCTGTAAGATGATTTATAGTCGTAAAAATATATATAATTTGTTTAAATTATAAATTTTTAATTTTTTTAATTTATTATTAAATTATATTGCCGGTTTAAATATTTAGAATCCAGGGAGTATTGATTTCTTTCCTGGTTTTTGTTTTCTTATTTGGTGCACATTTTTTGTATCTAACTAAATCGGATTCACGTTAAAAAGTCTTATATTTAAGTAAAACACTTTCTAATAAAAATAACTCGATATCAAATAATATCAAAATTTAAAATCTCTGATTGAGGATGAAGTACTACTCCATGATAACTGTCATTGGAGTATGAAAGGGAATGTTGTTGAAAGTAATTAGTTCATTTAGTTAGTTAGTTATAACTATAAAGTAGTTAGTTACAATTCAAGTAAGTAGTTAGTTGAAAAGAATCTTTGATTAAGTCTTCTATATAAACACTTCTTTGTATCTGAATATGGATCAATAATATGAATGGAAAGCTGAGATATTCTCTCTATATACTCTTCTTCTTCTTAGCTCATCTTCTCTTCAATTAATCTGTCTTCTCTTCTTCATCTTCTTCTTCTTTCTTTACTTCATAACAAGTACATAGTATCAGAGCAGGGGATCTAACCTGTGAAATCTGAATTGCTTCCGCTAATCAATCGTGAAAAGCATTGAAGAAATCGAAATCTCTGGAAAAATGGCTGGAGATGATGAACCAGTTATTGTTCAAGAGAATACCAATCGAGCTGCCAACATTGGTCAAGAAATTGACTACAATCATCCATTGTTCTTATCTCCATCAGATGTTAGTGGAAATCAAATCATTTCATTCCAGCTAACAGGTATGGAAAACTATGCAATCTAGTTTCGATCTATGCGAATTGCTCTACTAGGAAGAAATAAACTTGGAATGGTAGATGGATCTTGTGATAAAGAAAAATATAGTGAAAATATGTGGAATCACTGGGATCGAGTTGATGCTATTGTTCAATCTTGGTTGATGAACTCTGTTTCTAAGAGTTTACTAGGGGGCATTATGTATGCAGCCACAACTAAAGCAGTTTGGGAAGATCTACAAGAAAGGTTCACCAAGGTAGATGGTTCAAGAACCTTCAATCTGCATAAGGAAATAGCCACTCTAACTCAAGGAGTGAACTCTGTAACAGTCTATTTCTCCAAACTCAAGACCCTTTGGGAGGAACTTGAGGCTTTGGTACCACCACCTGGTTGTAACTGTGAAAGATCTAAAGAGTTCATAGTGCATTTGCAAAAACTGAAACTATTTCAGTTTCTAATGGGGCTGAATGACACTTATAATCAAGCAAGAAGTCAGATACTACTCATGAGTCCATTACCTTCAATAAATCAAGCCTATGCTATGGTGATGGGTGATGAGAGTCAAAAGTCTGTGTCAGCTATGAATGGAATCTTGGGTGCAAATCCAATGTCACATACAGGCAACTATGAGTCTGCCTTGTACAGCAGAACAAATGGTAATCAAAAGTTTACAAGAAATTCTCATTTGTATTGTGATGTTTGCAAAATAAGAGGACACAATAAGGATAATTGTTGGAAAATAGTGGGATATCCCCCTGAATTCAAGTTCAAAAAAAGGAAATTATCTAAAGGTGGAAGTGCAGCTTACAATGTGAGTGCAAAAGAAAACACTCAAAATGAGGTACTTCAGGCTGGAAATGAGCAATCTGAGTTCAAGTATGGTTCTGATACGAATGTGTTCAGTCATGGAAAAGGTTCAAGTAGCATGGATCAAGTTCAATCCAAACCAAGTCGAGTTGAGGCTAGTCACTTTACACAAGATCAATACAATCATATAATACAGATGCTAGCACAACACAGTCCTCAAGTCAACTAGAATTCTATGTCTAACACAGCTACAAACACAGCATGTATGACTAACTCAATGGCTATGAATGTGTCTCACAAGCCTAATTGGATTGTGGACACAGGAGCAACAAATCATATGGCTTCAAGTTTAGAGCTACTAAACAAGTTATCAGTTAATAAGTTAGGCTATAATAGAACTGTTGAATTGCCTAATGGAGATGAAACAAAAGTCACTCATACTGGATTAAGTAGTATATCTGATGGTAGTACTATATCTAATGTATTGTATGTGCCAGAGTTCAAATTTAATTTGTTATCAGTTTCAAAACTAACAAAAGAGTTACAATGTTCTGCTTCTTTCTTCCCTGACTTTTTTGTTTTGCAGGATCTCTTCACTGGGAAGGTGAAGGAGATTGGTAGAGAGCAGAGTGGACTATATTGGCTACTAAATAAAGATGCAAGAAGATCTATCAGTCTAGCTGCTCAAGATGTTAAGAATGTGTCAACAGACAAGATAAATTTGTGGCGCAAAAGATTAGGACATACATCTACTTCAGTGTTACATAAACTCTTTAACATTGAGCTTACTTCTATTAGAACTCAGATAGGAGATTGTGTAGTATGTCCTTGTGTTAAACAATGTAGATTACCTTTTCAGAATAGCAGTATAAAAAGTAATAGTTGTTTTGAATTGATTCACTTAGATCTATGGGGTCCTTATAAAACCAATACATATGATGGACACAAATATTTCTTAACAGTTGTAGATGACTATTCAAGATATACATGGATATTTCTTTTGAGACAGAAATATGATGTTTGTGTATCCCTTCAATATTTTATGAATTTTACTAGAAATCAGTTTGGTAAAACAGCTAAGATAGTTAGAACTGATAATGGAACTGAATTCATTAACTATGTATGTGAAAAATTATTTAAACAATTAGGAGTTATTCATCAAACAACTTGTGTATATACACCCCAACAAAATGGGGTAGCTGAAAGAAAACATAGACATATTCTTGAAATAACTAGAGCCATTAGGTTGCAGGCTAATATACCTATAAAATTCTGGGGACATTGTGTCCTAGCTGCAGCTTACTTGATAAATAGGCTTCCTAGTTTTGTGTTAAAAGGAGAAACTCTCTTTAACAAACTTTATGGAAAAAAGCCTTCTATAGCTCATCTAAGAGTTCTATGGTGTTTATGCTTTGCTAGAGTGCCAAATCAATATGATAAACTTGAATCAAGGTCTATAATGTCTGTTCATATGGGATATTCAGAGGTGCAAAAAGGATATATTTTATATGATCTAACTAATAAAGTGTTCTTTGTTAACAGGGATGTCATATTCAATGAAACAACATTTCCATTTGGTAAAGGAAAACAGTTAGAACCTGTATTTAAAGACACTCATTCAATCTTAGATCATGCATGTCAATGGTCGAGTATTCCTGTTACTACACCTACTCAACAAGTTCAGTAACTCAGACAATATGAAAGTAGGGAATCATGCAAACAAAATGAGGAAGAGGAGTTAAGGACTGTGATAAATGAGGATACAACACAGATCCCTTTACAACCATCTAGGAAGTCTTGAAGAAGCAGTAAACCACCTATTTGGTTAAAAGACTTTGTTTCTCTCAATATCGAGAAGAAATCAGATTATGGTATTCAAAACTATATAAGTTATGAGAATATTTCTGACAAATATAGTGCATACATAGCTGCAGCCTCAAATCATACTGAACCAAAGTCCTACAAAGAAGCTGTTAAAGATTCAAGATGGATAGAAGCTATGAAGTCAGAAATTGAAGCATTACAAAGTAATCATAATTGGGACTTAGTAACTCTTCCTCAAGGAAAAACTCTAATAGGCTGCAAGTGGATATTCAAAATCAAATATAAATCCACATGAGAGGTAGAAAGGTATAAAGCCAGACTAGTAGCTAAAGGATTCAACCAACAAGAAGATATTGACTACCAAGAAACATTCTCTCCTGTAGTAAAGATGAAGACTGTTAGAACAGTATTGGCACTAGCTGCAAAAAAGGGATGGTGTGTACACCAAATGGATGTGTTCAATGCTTTCTTACAATGAGATTTATTTGATGAAATATACATGGAATTGCCTCAAGGTTTCACAAGTCAGGGGGAGAAACAAGTATGTAGACTTGTGAAGTCATTATATGGATTGAAACAAGCCCCTAGACAGTAGAATGCTAAGTTGTCTAAGGCATTAGTAGAGCTTAAGTTTCAACAGAGTGAGTATGATCAGTCTATGTTCATCAAGGAAGATGAATCTGGAAAGGTGATTATTCTTGTGTATGTGGATGATCTATTAGTCACAGGAGATAGTCTAAGAATTGTGAAAGAAACAAAAGAGAAGTTAAAACAGGTGTTCAAAATGAAGGATCTTGGAGAACTAAGATACTTTTTAGGCATTGAGTTTGCCAGGTCTGATCAAGGTATACTTATGCATCAAAGAAAATACACCTTGGAGCTTATATCAGAGACAAGGCTCAACAGTTCTAAACCAGCCGCAACACCAATGGATACAAATGTTAAGTTAACAACTAAACAGCTTGATGAATATATCAGATTAAGAAATTTAGGAAAGTTCAACTCAAATGATCAATTAGCAGATCAAGGAGCATACCAAAGGCTGATAGGAAAATTGTTATATCTAACTGTGACAAGACCTGATATAGCATTTGGTGTCAATACTCTAAGTCAGTTTCTTCAACAATCAAAAAAATCACACATGGAAGCTGCCCTAAGGATTGTAAGGTATGTAAAGAATCAACCAGGGTTAGGAGTTCTGCTGTCCAGCAACAAGAATACAACTCTCACAGCTTACTGTGACTCAGACTGGGCTTCATGTCCCCATACAAGAAGGTCAGTGACAGGTTACTTGGTTAAATTTGGAGATTCTCTATTAACTTGGAAGTCAAAGAAACAAACAACCATTTCAAAAAGCTCTGCAGAAGCAGAATACAGGAGCATGGCAGCCATAGTTTCAGAATTAATTTGGATCATAGGTCTGATGAAAGAGTTGGGAGTAAACTTGAAACTACCTGTTGATATTTACTCAGACAGCAAAGCTGCTATACAAATTGCAGCTAATCCAGTATACCATGAAAGAACCAAACATATTGAAATAGACTGCCACTTCATAAGGGGAAAAATAGACAAAGGATTGGTAGCAACAAGATACATATCAACAAAAGATCAACCTGCTGATTTATTTACAAAAGGTCTTAATACTGTTCAACATGTGTATCTCAATTCCAAGCTAGGAACTTGTAACATTTTCACACTACCTAGCTTGAGGGGGAGTGTTGAAAGTAATTAGTTCATTTAGTTAGTTAGTTATAACTATAAAGTAGTTAGTTACAATTCAAGTAAGTAGTTAGTTGAAAAGAATCTTTGATTAAGTCTTCTATATAAACACTTCTTTGTATTTGAATATGGATCAATAATATGAATGGAAAGCTGAGATATTCTCTCTCTATACTCTTCTTCTTCTTAGCTCATCTTCTCTTCAATTAATCCGTCTTCTCTTCTTCATCTTCTTCTTCTTTCTTTACTTCATAACAAGTACAAATGTCTATATATCAATGGTGGAACTAAAAAACTCTAAGGGGTCGTTTGGTACAAACATTGATAGTGCAGGGATAAGTAATGCATGAATTAGTAATACAGAGATTAGTAATGCAGGGATTAATATTGCAGGGATTGTTTTTTGTCAAGTGTTTGGTTCACTACTTTCCACTTAATTTTGTATTTAATTTATAATTCTACAAAAAAATTCTTTCCTATTATACCCTTGTTTTATTATGAGTGTTTATTTCATGTAACTAAGTCAAGGCAGATAACTACCGGATCGGATAATTTTTTTACAAAATTATTTATTCCATTTAATTAGTTAAATCAAATACATATATATAAAATTATTATTAATTTTAAGGTATGATGTACCACTAAGAAGATCAGTGATGACACAATGTATTTCTAATTTTTTGTGGGTTAAGTATATATCTTAAACTTAACATAGATTTAAGACTACTTAAATTGTTAATACCTAAAGCTTATTTTTATTTTTATTTTTAAAACAATAGTTCAAGTGGGTAATTGACAAATTATCTTGAATATAAAAAAAAATCAAGTAAAAATGGAGAAAAAAATATTAGTAAAATCATTAAATTACACCAAACAAATTTGGAGAATTAAAAAAGAACATTTATAACCACTCTAATATAAATAAAAAGGAAATTAAATTACAAAAGAATTTTTTTAAAAAAAGAATAAAGGATTAGTTTAGTCATTTAGGAATCTTATCCAAGGTTTAACAAACCTTGGATTAGTTATCCCTCCATGTTCAAGGGGTAAGATAATACCACATATGATGGATAAGCAATCCATGAATTAAATTAAATGAAGTAATCAAACAATATATTAGTTGAATTAAATTTCAATCCATAGATTATTCTACCTAATACCGCCTACCAAACGGGTCCTAAGAGGATTATTTGGTGGGATAAGGGGTCTTTGATTTTTTTTTAGTCTTGGACAGTTCTTTCTTTTAGCTGCTAGCTAGCTTTTTCTATTGAATAACCTAGACCTAAAGTCTATTTCTTTATCGCAATAGTAAAATGGTTTATCTCAACTCATTATTTCCGAGTCTTAAATTGTACGAGCTTCATATGTTCAAGCTTGGATGTGTGGGTGGTGTTGCAGTATACTATCACTATGACAAAAATAATTTTTAGCGGCATTAAAAATTGACATTAATAAAGAGTATTAAAGCCTTTACCGACATTAGTTAAGTGTCATTAGAACCAACGTCGCTAAAGGCTTTAGGGACATATACAAAAAATGATAATTACCGCCAAAAATACATGATCATTTTTATTATAGTGCACATCAATGGTTAAAAAATCATTAATTTCCTTACACAGTCTAAGACAATTATATTTATCATTTACCTAGCTATTTAAATTAAGCTAAAGTTAAATTTTTTATCCC